CTAACAGTTTTATAACCTTTTAGATAAACAAAAAAGTTTCTCCCAAGGATGTRATAACGTCGGACCTCGAATAATACTCCAACCGTTGCCTTTTCAAAGAGTTGCCGCTGACSTTAATATGACTGTATCGCTGGCGTGTGATGCGGTGGCTGATGGGAAGGTTACATACCAATGGCTCCGGAATAACGAGGTGAATGTTGTATTTGTATTGTATATTCCAGAGAATTTCATTTTATGAGTAAAAGTGAATTTACCCTATAATTTGTTTATATTTATATAGATACTTGTCGAAACTAGTCCTAATATAGTCTTTAACAACACCCTTTTATCGGACTCTGGTCGTTACATGTGTATAGCCAAGTCAAGTAATATCACTGTGACGTCATATCCGGCCGTTGTTGAAGTGTTTGGTAAGTTTCACTTGACAACACTATTTGAGGGAAATGGTTTTAGAGTCATTTTCATCCGTCTGTGAAATAGGAATTGTAGTATTCAATACCATTACCCTCTATTAGCTCCCAATCGTTAAACTTGTGACATGCGACAAACTAATCATAGGGAAACACGGTCTTGATTTTGCCTTTTGGTAGCCTAATACACACTAATACTTACTATTAAACACTGACTAGTAGTGACTGTTTCACGGACGGATAAAMATGACTCTAACAGCTTTGATTGTTTGTGCATTTTTTTTTTGTGCAATATTATGTTAAGTTTTAACGAAAATATTGTTGACTTGTATATGTTTTTGTTGCTGGTTATTTTGCACAGTAAGCAAGAATTTCATTAGCGGTCAGTTAGTTCAGCTGCCTACTATTTTCGTTAACTGTGAAACGTTTCTTTCAGATACAAGCCCTCAATTCTCGAAGCGYCAATACGAAGTGTCAGTGAACGAAACGAAGTCGAGATTAAGTCTGCTTGTTTTAAACTACACTGCTTTAACAAAGACAGAGGAAAAGGCAACTGTTTCATTTGATATTTTCTCAGGTAACTGCATCTAGGCTTAACGGGCAGTAATTAAGTTAGGTAACTTATAATATAATTGCGTTTGTATAGTTTTGAACCATTTGCGCGCACATCGTGCGTTTCTTCTGTAGCAGTTTTTTCCATATGGGAATGATTGCTCGTCAAAGTGACATGTGATAATTTCTCATGTTTACCTCAAAAWTAACTAATTACAAAAAGGTGTTTGCATGTATTAACATTTTCTACCATGAAATTATCCATAATGAAATTCTTATCTTTCTTTCGAAAACTTGCTATTTTCAGTAGTTACGATTTGCATGGATAATTATATAGTAAATAGAATATTAAAAGGTCGCTTGGAAATACGAATCCCATCTTCTCGTTTGCAAAATCTCTACGCATCCATGTAATGTTCTCTATATTTCGCTCTAAGGTAATATGAATGGCAGTTTTACCTTGAAGCAGTCGATCTCAACCAATGAAGTAACCCTCACCAATACCAAACCTCTCGACTATGAACAGACCAGGAAATATCAACTGACCTTGAAGGCGATTAACACCAATACCAGTAAGTCATCTTTCATCAACGTGACAATCAGCATACGTGACGTGAATGATAACTACCCAAGATTCTTGAAAAACATTTACAACACCACAATCSCTGAAAATGTAAGCATTGGATATGACATCATTCAGGTCCAGGCTTCCGACGCGGACGCGGGATCTAATGCGCAGATAACCTACCATCTTGATGTAGTCTCATCTTCGGCTTTAGCAAATCAGTCTTTTTCAGTTAATGAGACAAGTGGTGTGATCTACACGACAAAACAAATCGATTATGACACACTAAGTAATGAGTCGATACGACTTCGTATTGTTGCAAAAGATGGCGGGACACCAGCCTTACAAACCTCCGTTAATGTCTTCATAACGATAACCGATGTCAATGACAACTATCCACAATTCCAAAAAAGTGTCTATACTGTTACTCTCAACGAAAGTGCAAAGATTGGGTATAACGTCATTCGGGTACAGGCTTCCGACGCGGACGCAGGATCTAATGCGCAGATAACCTATCATCTTGATGCAGTCTTATCTTCGGCTTTTGCAAATCAGTCTTTTTCGGTTAATGAGACAACTGGTGTGATCTACACAACAAAACAAATCGATTATGACACACTAAGTAATAAGTCCATACGACTTCGTATTGTTGCAAAAGATAGCGGAACTCCAGCCTTAAAATCCTCCATTAATGTCATCATAACGATAACCGATGTCAATGACAACTGCCCACAATTCCAAAGTAGTATCTATAATGCCACCTTCCCTGAAAATGTAAGCATCGGATATGACGTTATTCGGGTCCAGGCTTCCGACGCGGACGCGGGATCTAATGCACGGATAACCTACCATCTTGATGCAGTCTTATCTTCGGCTTTTGCAAATCAGTCTTTTTCAGTTAATAAGACAAGTGGTGTGATCTACACGACAAAAAAAATCGATTATGACACACTAAGTAATGAGTCGATACGACTTCGAATTGTTGCAAAAGATGGCGGAACTCCACCCTTGCAAACCTCCGTTAATGTCATTATCACCATAACCGATGTCAATGACAACTAYCCAMAATTCCAAAAAAGTATCTATAACGTTACTCTCAACGAAAGTGCAAAGATTGGGTATAACGTCATTCGGGTCCAGGCTTCYGACGCGGACGATGGAGTGTATGCATTAATCACCTATTATATTGATTCTGCCAATCATACGTTTGCTATCAACTCAACAACTGGTGTAATATACACAACTCAGTTATTTGACTATGAAAATCTAGACAATAAATCGATGGAATTRCGAGTCGCGGCGAAAGATGGCGGTTCACCACCGCTAGTGTCTTACGTCACTGTCGTTATCATGGTAACTGATGATAATGACAACGTTCCAGTTTTTCGCAACTTACCCAATGAAGTGTCCGTTGGCGAAAATACACCAGAAAACCAAGTACTTTTTACAGYCATTGCTGAGGACARTGATTCTGGTARMAATTCTTTSCTACAATACACTATTGACAGCGTTAAGGAAAACAGCGTCGATCTTGTCAATCAAGATTTATTYRCGGTTAATTCGACYTCCGGTCAACTATTTGCTATCAAAGCATTCCCAAAGAACGTCAATACAAAGTACGACGTAACAATGGTAGTAAAGGATCATGGKCGCCCACCGCTAAGTTCTCGTGGTMATCTCAMCATTATAGTAYTTGACGTGAATGACTTTTCGCCAAAATTCCAAGAAAACGTTTACGAGCGATACTTCACCACCCCACCCCGGACAGGAGATTTATTGCAAATGGTCAAAGCTGTTGATGTCGATTTCGGTAATAATTCAGTCATCGATTACGAGRTTACAGTTGTTAATGAGACTGACAGCTGTCAAGCAAACTTTAGTATTACCAGCAATGGTAGTATCTACAGCACTGTTGATCTTAAAGAAAATTGTCAGTACACTTTACTCGTAGAAGCACGTGACAGGGGTGTGCCGTCACGTGCAGGGGAATGCCACGTGATTATTCGTGTCGCACCAAAACAACTGGAGAACGATACAGGCGCAGGTAATGTAACAATAACCTATGATATTCAAACAGCATTAGTCTACCATATCCTCTCTTCTCATATATAGACCTCATTCTACATGCCTCACATTACAATGTGGGATAAATGTCTGTTGATATCATATACGAACTTAACGCACAGCGAGCATGCTCAGTACGTTATCKTAATGTTAGGCGTAATGTTATCGGGTTTGCTCTAACTGGCTGAGACGTTAAAAAAATCCAGCAGAGTTTTCAGCTCATAATTTGGAACCTTTTCTCCTATAAAGTACGGTACTTCCTWAGAATTTCTAACAGAGAATTGAAACACGTATGAACGTTACATGGGTAACTCTTGCTGTGATTTATTACCTAGTGTCATAGATGAAAATAACTTCAAATATAACTTTTTTTCCTTTTATAATTACATTAATTTATTCTAAATCTATCGAATTTCCCACAATGTAAAAACAAACGAGTCGTCTTGAGTCCTTGGTGCTCTTTTGACTCTTTTGATTTAAAGAGTYACTTTGAGAGAGTTGTTTCGACCCGAAAGGAGTGTCAAAACGACATCTCAGTAGAGTTGCTTGACTTAACGGGTCGCGGTGCATCAAGGGAAGTCCGAACTACCAACTTYCCTTGATCCTTTGCGCACGCCATAGAAGTAAAGAGTAACGACTTGGTACAAGTCTGGATAATCTCCTTAACGGCTCCCTGCGCTCTCTTGAAAAATAGCCGTGCCTTTTCATCGAAGCGAGACGAACGTTGAACTTGCAATGATAAAAGCATTTTTTCAGACCTGCAGACAATATTCACAGGTTTCTATCATTGCACGCTCAACGTTTGTCTCGTAGCAAAGGCACGGCTTTTCTTCATGATGGCGCCGGAAACCGTGAAGGGCACCATTAAATGTTATATATATTATATCTTGTTGTATATATACATATAGCACTGTCTCCAAAGACCTTGGCAATCATATTTGGTGCTGGCTTTGTTATTGCTGTGGTGATTTTCTTAGGCCTATTGTACATATATTACCGAAGGTATGTTGAAGTACGTAGTATACAATCGCTGATATTTTTTTGAAAAGAACACTAAAGACAAAAAATCAAMAGGACGGATTTCGTCATCGATTATTGTTGAAAAGATCTCTCGCGAGTGAGTACATAACGAAGATGAAACCCGTATCTCCCAGCTACCATTTAATATGTTTATCATATAATTATCCGTGAAAGCAAACTTTGTTATAAATGAAACTGTAACTTTTATTTGCCTCAAAAGTGAGAGATAAAGGTATTGATAATGATCGTTGATAAAAATTGATTATGATGAGCATTGCAACGCCCTCATGGTATATTAATCCTTTTCAGACGTCGTTCATCTAGAGATTTGCTGGCACAAGAACGTAACTCAAAGTAATTGTTATTGTTATTATTTCGTCGTTTTCTTTTTCTTTTGTTTCTTTTCTTCTTGTTATTACAAACAGATTGAATGACATTAGCATGAATCATATATAACCTTGATATAATACTACTTTTTCAGAGAAGTACTCTATGAAACTGAGTTMTGAACCCAGTGTAAGTATAGCTTTTTTACAGACCATTATTCAAATCATATCAGTTACAGGTAGGTAGATAACGGTCTGCATATACTATTTGGTTGGTCTGATGTCCTCACTAGACAGTATTGTTGGTTTGTGCATATTATCCGACTATAGACATAATATTTATGGCATATTTCTTGTTTCAGGCTGAACTGATCTGTAAGACACTAATGCATCAACGTGCATCCCAGTTTGTGCAGTGATGAACGATGTAACTCACTTAATTTACCKGGTACTCCAGGGCTTATAGCASGCTTGCAAACGTACAGTACACGTCGAAGCGAGTGCCTAACCTTATTTGGAAGTAGTTTGCCAAGATGAATCCAGATTTACTATTATAAAGTAATGTCTCTCTAAACAAAGAATATCGTACGTAATTTAATTCAATTCCATCCAATCCTTTCTCTAGYTATCTACGTCACATATTCTTTCACATACATGTTGTTTTCGTCATGATTACGCCGGCCTATTCTATCAGTAAACAAGGGCTTCGCGTCAGTCATGTAAAGCCTAGACGCCTATTCTTTATAAGGCTGTTGTATTCTTAATACACTATTGTAATAGAAGGTCTTAATAGATAAAGCATTGAACACAGTCAATGTGCTAATAGTGCTGAGAGCTGTTGCTTTGTTAACAAAWGAAGTCACGTTCAAGAATAAAATATAACCGAGCGAAAGTACTCTGCGGACTGTATGAGTTTGTTTCATGGGGGGGATTTTATTTCTGAATGTACAATAATATTGCTGGCAACAAGTTACGACTCGCATAAATATAATATGTATTTCTCCATAACTGATAAACGTCACACAAGCTCAGTTGCCTCAAAAGAGAAAAGAGTTTTAATGAGTAAAACAATAGAAACCTTAACTTTAACTGAACTCTGGGCGTATAAGTGAACTAGATTGCATTGGAGACAATCAAAACTGCCGGCTTTAGACCCCGACTCGGTTTGGAATGTCTTTCTCAGTTTAGTTTATAATGGAAAATTTATATAATTAACCTGCTTTCGCCTGAAATTATATCGATGTGAGTGCATACAA